ATCATGGAGGTACGAGCGACCTCCATGACTAAGCCAATGCGGCGCTCAGCAACCCCATTCTGCTGAGGAGAGGCCGGAAGCGTGAAAGTCTGGCGGATGCCGTGCTCCGCACAGAAGGCTGCCAAGAGGTCTGAGGAGAACTCACCACCTCTGTCAGAGTGCAGACGCAGGACAGGAAAGTCCGACTGGAACCGCTCGCGGAGCTGGAGACGAGTAGCGCGGATCCAGGGGATCAAAACATCAGGGACATCCCCCTTGCGCTGTAAGGGGAAGACCGTGGTGTAGCGCGTGTAGTCGTCGAAAACCAGCAGGAAGTACCGCTCGTGGCCCTGTCCACGGACGCGGGCTGGGCCCCACACGTCCAGGTGGAGAGTCTGCAGTGGAGCCTCTGTGGGAGGGAACGAGGAGGAGTGAGGAGCGCCGCGCTGCCGCCCCTCGACGCAGGGAATGCAGGGCGGCGCAGGCGAGGGAGGGAGGGGAGGCAGAGACCTGGGAAGCCCAGAAACCAGGAGGCGGGAGTGCATGCTGCGTAGGCGAGGCAGGGAGGGGTGACCAAGGCGGTGGTGCCACAGGAGAGTGTCGTGCGACAGCCGGCGACACTCACACTGTGTAGCTACCGGAGCAGACGCGTGCAACTGGGGAGACAAAGGGGCGGAGCGTGACGCAGTGGTGATGGTGTACAGACTGGACCCCGGAGCACGAGCGAACGTGGCCAGGTGGCGACCAGTCTGGGAGCACGTGCAAATCGCCACACGCTGCCGGCCAGGGGTGAAGGTGTCAACCCCCGCATCCTGAAGGACAGCGTTACTCACAAAGTTCGTAGAGAACGAGGGGAGGTGGAGACCAGACAGCTCACCAGACGGGACCGCCGGACACGGAAGCACAGTGAAAGACCGTGCAAGCACTGGGCCCTCAGAGGGGTCAGCCAGTGAGACAGGAACAGGTGCAGGGAGGGGAGTGACTGTGGTACTGTCGCGAAAGAAACAGCGGGAAGCACCAGAGTCAAGTGTAAAGGTGTGCAAAGCCTGTGCAGGTGCAGTACCAAGGGGAGCAGACTCACAAGCACCTAGTGCTGCAGGGGCTATACCAGGGGTTATACCAGGATCCGGCGGCACACACAAGTAGCAGTCACCCTCAGCACTAACAGACAAGGCATACATAGCAGCAAGAATTGCCTCATAGTCAAGATCAAAGATAGGTACATCACGCCTAAGCAAGTCTGCCCAGTTGGGGAACTCAGTAGCATCAGGAAACTTGGCGCGCCAGGCGTCGCTAAGCCGAGCGAAGCAGCGCTGCTCAGTGTGAAAACCTGTGCACTGGCGACCAGCGCGGGGACCTGTGCGGATGATATAGGGGCAGCGACCAGGACCCCCAGAAGCCCCACGCCCGGCATACCAGTCAAGAAGCTGCTGGGAAGTGGGGGTCTGGCGCTGACGCTGATGCTGCTGCTGCTGCTGCGGCTGCTGCTGGCCCTGACCACCACTGCCACCACCGCTCCCTCCTCCCCCACCTCCGCTGCTGCCGCCTCCACCGCTCCCAGTGCCTCCGCCGCCCCCACCACCACCTCCACCGCCTCCACCCCCACGACCACCCCCACCACCGCCTCCACCTCCACCACCTCCACCACCTCCACCACCTCCACCCCCACCGCCCCTGCCACCCCTGCCGCCCCTGCCGATGCGACGCTTCCCACTGGGAGCGGAAGCAGCTCCGACCCCCTCAGCACCAAGGTAGTCGTGAGCAGCAGCTGCGGAGGCGTAGGAGGGGGGGAGAGGGGAGGGGGAGCACCCCTCAAAGAGGGGAGAGCGAGGAGTGCCACGAGCAGCACCTACAGCGAGGATGTTCTTCTCTGCTGCGAGGAGGTGCTTCTCGAAGTCGTCTACAGTGAGAGTGGTGGGGTCTAGCGCTAGGAAGTGGTCCCTGACAGAGCTAAGAGTGTCAGGGAGGCGGGTGACGAGGAAATAGAGAGTGAAGTACATCGGGGGGGGTTTGCGGCGCAGAACTCGGTTGAAAGGGCGGCACGAAAGCGAGAGTCAGTAGCGCGCAGGTGAGAAACTAGGTCCTCAGCAGTGGTGAACGAGGAAAGATCGGGGAACAGGTACGGTAGCATGAGTCGACCTATGGCTGCAGTGGCCGGGGAGGAGTAGCGCGCAACTACAGCGTCGTACAGTGTCTGAGCAGTTCTGTGCTGGCTGAAATGCGCTCGCTCAGTAATCGGCAGGTGGTTCCTAATAGCTAGACGTGCAGCAGCATCACGAGTCTGCCACTGGGAGCGTTCTAGAGCAAGAGCATCAGCAGCAGGAGCAACAGCAGAGCCAGAGACGTAATCAAACAAGGAAACGCCATCTTTGGCATCAGTCAGAAGGAACAGTTGGAGATCGTCTAACCATACACTGAACTCGATGGGACGACCGTCAGGCTCGAACGCTAGAACGTTAGGCGTCGCCATATTGGCTTAAGGCAGGAGGTAGCAGGCAGCAGGCAGCAGGCAGAGGCAGCACGCACCAATTAGGAGGCAGGGGGCAGAGGCAGGAGGCAGGGGCAGCAAGCAGCAGGCAGAGGCAGCAGGCACCAAGTAGGAGGCAGGAGGTAGAGGCAGGAGGCAGGGGCAGCAAGCAGCAAGTAGGAGGCAGGAGGCAGAGGCAGGAGGCAGGGGCAGCAAGCAGCAAGTAGGAGGCAGGAGGCAGAGGCGGGCAGCAAGCAGCAAGTAGGAGGCAGGAGGCAGAGGCAGGAGGCAGGGGCAGCAAGCAGCAGGCAGGTAGGAGGCAAGCTGCAGGCAGGCGGCAGCAGGCAGCAAGCAGGCAGGCAGGCAGGCGGCAGGCAGGCAGCAGCAGGCATCAAGCAGGCAGGCGAGAGCAGGCAGCAAGTAGCAGGCAGGCAGCAGGTAGGCAGCAAGCAGGTTGCAGACAGGCGGCAGTAGGCAGCAAGTAGGCAGGCAGGTTGGCTGCAGGCAGTAAGCAGGCAGGCTGCAGCAGGCAGGCAGGCTGCAGGCAGGCGGCAGCAGGCAGCAAGCAGGCAGGCAAGCAGGCTGCAGGCAGTAGGCAGGCAGGCGGCAGCAGGCAGGCAGAAGGCAGGCTGCAGACAGGCGGCAGGCAGGCGGCAAGCAGGCAGGCAGGCAGGCTGTAGGCAGCAAGCAGCAGGCAGGCAGCAGGCAGGCAGCAGGCAGGCTGCAGGCAGGCGGCAGCAGGCAGCAAGCAGTAGGCAGGCGGTAGGCAGGAGCGGCAGGCAGCAGGCAGCAGGCAGGCGGCAGGCAGCAGGCAGCAGGCAGGAGCGGCAGGCAGCAGGCAGCAGGCAGGAGCGGCCTGAGGGCTGCGTGTGGCGGCTTGCTGCACGAGGCTGCAGGCTGCGCGTGGCTACGGGCAGCGCGCGCGGCCGCAGGCTACGCGCGGCGACTGATTGCGCGAGCTGCGGGCTGCTTGCAGCTGCGGGCTGTGCGTGGCTACAGCGTGCGCGGCTGCATTCTACATGCGGTTTCGGGCTGCGCTGGGCGCTACGCTACGGGCGACGGGCCGCACGTGCGCGGCTGCGGGCTGGTCGCTACGCTACGGGCTACGCTGGGCGACGGGCCGCTCTGGCGTGGCCTAAACAGGTTTCGCACGGGCGGCTTAAGGGGCGCACAGGCGGGGCCGAAACGGGCTACGCGGGCTGCTGAGACGGCGCACGTGGGAAAAAAAAAAAGGACCGCCCGAGGCGCGCGCGGGCAACCGAGGCGCGCGTAGGCACTAGGTACGACAGGTAATCGTGGTGGGCCCTAATCGTAGGTCCTAAGGACCTATGCTCTATACCATGTCATTATCTTACGGAAAAGTGTGTATCGACTATCGAGGGAAAAGATACAAAGGAGAAACCGAAGGGGTTGTACCCCACAGTGAGTACCCCACTAAGCCTAACCAAACTATAACAAATATACACATATGTTTGACACTGACTTGGTGTTTCGACACGACAGAAGCGCTTAAATCAATTGTTTCCAACACTCCCTTAGCGCATCGCCTCATAGCGAAGCATCGTAACTGTAGTAGTACCGCGTTAGCTGGTATAAAGCACGCGAAGGTCAATAGTCACGCGAAGGTCATCAGTAATGATTGTTGACCACCCCGCAAAACTGTAATCGGAGGTCACACACTGCAATTCGGTTACAGTAAGGATCGAAATAGTCACTGCAACTGTAGTGATGCCTGCAAATCAGTTAATAAGGGAATGTACCCCTCAGAGTACACGGCTAGCTAGGAGTGCTATATAAACCCCTTGTAATGTTATCTTCATCATTTTGTTTCTTTTCAACTTATTTATAAACAAGGTCCTTCAAAGACTTCGTTCGGCTGTATTTATTCTATCCACATTTATTCCTTGGTTATAACAACAAAATTCGTCCGATTATATATCAGTATGCAATGAGGTTGTCATATGTTCTGCTTCACTACAAATACCTTACGTACTATAACATTAAGGTTGAAGTTTGCTTTACGATTTAAAACCAAAAAACACCCGCGGCTAGGTCGACTTGTTACGGAGCAGCCCCCAACAAATCTTGGTGCTGTCAGCCTCTGCACGACAGCTTGATTTCATGTTGCCTTGCCATGCCTTTCGCAAATGCGCAGGCGCGCGACAACAACAGCGGCCCCCGTAAAGGAGAAAACGACCTGGGAAACATGCTCGCACGTCATACCCGTGCAGGGGTGTGCTGCCCATGATGATGGCCAGGTCGCCAGGAGGAGCGCGTGTAAGCCGTCGTAGTGACTTCTGAGTCGACTCAAAAGTCACCTCGCATGTCATACGCACGCGGGGGTCTGCTGCCTGTGATGATGGCGACCTGCACGTCGCCAGGAGGAGCGCGTGTAAGCCGTCGGCTGAGCGCGTTGCTGTTTGTGTCGCAGCTTCTGTTGTTACGTTTCGCGAATGTATTCGCGAGTGTGGACGAATTCTCGCACGAGAGTATCATTGCAGGAAGCTCTCGATATTGGAACGGTGTCCGGCGGTTGACAACGTACGCTGACCTCATGGGCGAGCGGAGCTCCCCAGACCCCGATACAGCGACATCCGCCAGCGGATCAACCGACACCACGGTCACTCCCGCTACAGTCACATCCGATACAGGCGCTCCCGTGACTGGACCGATCAGTCACAACATCAACTCCGGTGCGGGTGTAGCTGCCCCCGCTACAGTCACATCAACAGCCAGTGTAGACGACACTACGGATGCTGACGCTAGCAGGGGCGCCGCTGTCTCCGCAACGGATTCCTCGACGCGCACCACTGCTTCTTCTCCCTCTTCGTCCGCTTCTCTTCCGCCATCCCCTCCTCCCTCTCGCGACGCGCGTCTGCCTGCCGCGACGGACCAAGACTCCTCCCATGCCTCTCCTTCGTCACAACCCGCTTCGCCGTCAGATGTTTCGTCGTCGTTAGCGAGGGCGGGTTCCGACGCAGGAGGAAACGGAAACGACCTCCCTGGCTCGAACCCCCTCCCCCGACCGCCACACCTCACTCCCCACAGCCGCCCCAGGCGTCACCCCACACACCCCCCAGTCTCCGCCCCCCCCTCCGCCCGTGCGCCTGCGGGTTCCCCCCAGGGGGGTCCTCAAGGGGGTGTCTCTGGGGAAGCTCCCTCTTCGCCTGGCGGCGATGGGGGAGAGACGTCAGATGCCACGTCAGATGAAACGTCAGATGCCACGTCAGATGAAACGTCAGATGCCACGTCAGATGAAACATATGACACGTCAGATGCCACATTAGACGCCTCGTCAGGTGCCCCCTCCTTGCAGAACCCTCCACACGCCCCTGCCTCTGATGCCGCCTCCCCCAGCTCGCCCCTGCAGCCCTCCACCTCTGATGAATCCCCCCCGGAAGAAGAGCTTGGGGGGCACGCAGGGCAGGCGGGGCAGGTTGGGCAGGGGGGGCACACAGGGCAAGCGGGGGAGAGAGGGGGAGGGCGGGAGGAGGTGCGGTGGTGCTGCGTGGGGCGGGGGGGGTGCGCCTTCTGTGGGGAGGTGGTGCCGGCACTGTCCACTCACAGCCAGCTGTGGTCCTGGTGGGTCTGCTGTGGTCCTGGTGGGTCAATGAGGGGTGTGCGTGCAGTTGGGCAGTGGAGGAGAGGAAGTAAGCGAGTCCATTGGCCTGCTCACTGCCAGCCGTGTGTTCCTCCTCTTCCCCCATGCCGTCCCCTCCCCTCCCATCCCAACCTGCCCCGTACCTCGCATGAAATAGCTTTGTGAATAGCTACTTTGTGAATTCACTGCATGCGGAATAGCCATCTCATCTCATCTCATCTCATCTCATCTCATCTCATCTCATCTCATCTCATCTCATCTCATCTCATCTCATCACATCTCATCTCATCTCATCTCATCCCATCCCATCCCACTATGCATGCAGCACCGCAGCAAGCAGGAGTGCATGTGTGGTGCGTCGCAGTCGGCAATCCAAGCGGCTTTACAGCTGACCAGTGCTTCATTGTTCATGACCGTGCGTTGTACCCATGCCCCCATACTCTCATCCCTGCCCATGCCAGTGTGCAGCGGCGCAGCAAGCAGGAGTGCATGGGAGCCATAGCGGCCTCGCAAACCGAGCTGGTCTCCTTAGACGCGGGGCTGGCGTTCCGAGCCTTCCTGCACGGCCGCATGAAGGCCCTCATGAGTGAGCGCCTCGCATGGGGGGAGGCCTACCCCGCTGTCGCTGTCGTGCGCAGAGATGTGTGTGATGCTAGCGATGCAGGGCGGGGAGAGGCGGGGAGTGAGGGGCTCAAGGGGAGTGAGGGTGGTGCTGGCGTTGGTGGTGTGGGAGGAGATAGGGATGGGAGAGAGGGTGCGGTGGGGGAGGGAGGCAGTTTGGCTGTGAACAGCAGCAGTGGCAGTAGCAGTGGTGGTACTGGTAGCACTTCGCTCGGAAACAAAACTGACGCACAGACGGCCCCGGGCACACCACGCGGCACCACCACCAGCACCACCGCCCCCACCTCTCCTCCCCACTCCCCAACCACGCCCCTGCCGTCCAGCATCCCGGCGGGCCCCTGGCAACAGCTGCACCGCTTCAAGACGTGCCACCCGCTCTACGCCTCCGCCGCCGGCTGGGACCTCCCTGTGCGCTCCCTGCTCGCTCTTGACCTTGAGTCCCAGCTTGGGGGCGCTGGGGGCGCGCAGGGTGCGGGGGGTGGTGGAGGTGGAGGGGGTAAGGGGAGCAGCGGGGGCAGCAGCGGGGGAAGTGGGGGGTTTGGAGGCAAGGGGGACGTGGGAGGAGTGGGTGGGGGAGCGGGTGTAATGGGAGGGGGCGGAGGGGGAGGAGTGGGGCTAGGAGGCGGGTTTGCAGCGCCACCATTTGTGGAGGGCGAGCCAGCGGATGTGACTCTAGTGAAGGCCGTCTTCCCCGAGTCCTGCGCCCCTGGGGGGGACGGCACCCTAGGCCCCACCACCACTGCCCCTGCCACCGGGGGAGGAGAGGGGGGCGGGGGAGGCGGAGGAGGTGGGGAAGGGGAGAGTCTCGGGCGGGGGGACACGGGGCGGGTGTGCAGTGGGTGCGTGTCAGTGAACGGGCGGGGGACATGTGACGAGGAGGACACGTATGCGGGCTTCCACGGCGCCTTCCGGTGCCTCATGGAGCAGGCGGGCGACGTGGCCTTCCTGAGGCTGGACACGCCGCTCTGGTTTGCCCGCGGAGGGCGGTTTCAGCAGGCGTGGTCGCTGCAAGATCTGGGGGAGTTCCGCGTGCTGTGCCCGCCCATGGTTGGCGGATGCTTGGAGGTCACAGAGAACGTGCACGCCAACTGCACGTGAGTATTGGGACGTCTCAAAACCTGGGTATGGGCAGCGGCTGCATGTGAGTACGGTCATCGAGATGTGGTTTGCATAGCGCCTTTTGGTGTCTCATGGAGCAGGCACGCAATGCGGCTTCTTTCCGGCTTGATACGCCGCTCTGGTTTGCGCGTGGGGTGAGGTTTCAGCAGGCGTGGTCGCCGCAAGATCTGGGGGAGTTTCGCGTGCTGTGCCCGCCCATAGTGGGGGGCTTCGTGGAGGTCATGGAGAATTCGTGGGGGCCTGAGGGGCGCTAGCAGCGGCTGAGGGGCGCTAGCAGCAGCTGAGGGGCACTAGCAGCGGCTGAGGGGCACTAGCAGCGGCTGAGGGGCACTAGCAGCGGCTGAGGGGCACTAGCAGCGGCTGAGGGGCACTAGCAGCGGCTGAGGGGCACTAGCAGCGGCTGAGGGGCACTAGCAGCGGCTGAGGGGCACTAGCAGCGGCTGAGGGGCACTAGCAGCGGCTGAGGGGCACTAGCAGCGGCTGAGGGGCACTAGCAGCGGCTGAGGGGCACTAGCAGCGGCTGAGGGGCACAAGCAGCGGCTGAGGGGCACTAGCAGCGGCTGAGGGGCACTAGCAGCGGCTGAGGGGCACTAGCAGCGGCTGAGTTTGGATGCATTTGCTTGTCTCTGGTGGGCAACAGAGTGGCAATTGTGGTTGGGGAGTGCAGAGGAGCCATGTCTCTCTGCCACTACTTTATCATTGGGCTCCTGTACCACCAGTGTGACCTCTGAGTAAATTAAAGGTCATACAGTGCAAGGCTCCTGTGCCGCCGGTGGCCGGTCGCTACCACACTCATGCCTTTTGAGATGTCTCAAAAGTCGGCCGTTATCACACTCATGCGCAACACATGTGCCTGCACCTCACTCACTCTCTCACACCAACACTGCACCTGCTTGTCAACTTCCCCCACCTCTGCTTATTGCCCATCCTCTGCTACTTAATTCTGCCAGGTTCGGCAGTGTACCAGCCAATGTGGTAATGACGCGCAACAGCATATCGGAGCGCTTCAAGCGGGCCATAGTGGCACGCCTGGAGCTGGCGGGCACTGTCAAGGCGTGGCGCGAGGCACTATACGAGGGCCGCAACCCCTTTGACTACATCCTCTCGGGCAGGTAGGCGCCGTGCCAGCCAGTGTCTGTATCTGCTTCAAGCAGGCCATGGTAGCGTGGCTGGAGCTGGCAGGCACCGTCAGGGCATGGTGGGAGGCTCTGTCTGTACAAGGGCTGCAACCCCTTTGACTACATCCTCTCGGGCAGGTAGCACACCTCTCGCTGGTAACTCCCTCTCAAATCTCGGCAAGGTACCCCTCCCCTCCACCATGTGGTCTATGAGAGCCGCAACCCCTTCGACTAATTCTCTCTGGCAGCTAGGTGCCATACCACTTTCCGTGTCTCCTTCTGAGACGTTTCCTTGGTCCAAACACTCTCTCTGGCAGGGAGCTCGCCATTGCCTGTGTCCCTCTGTGCACTGCACCCAGGTGACGTTTGACTCGTGAGTCAACTCACAACTCACTGCCCTGCTCTCCATGGTTCGTCATGAGTGCTTCCAAAGAATGCTTGATTGAAGGGGCGGGGCACCAAGTCCTGTGTCTGTGTTCTGTGTGGCTGGTGCCTCTGCCCCGCATCTACCTGTTCAGCCTTCGCGTGCTTGCCCGGCACTTTCCTTTCCTGCCTGTTCTGCATGGCCACGTTAGGCTGCGCGATGCCGGATTTGCTCCTGCTTTGTCCATCCGCTTACGTGCCGTGATCTCTCTCATCCTGCCCCTCACTGATCAACATGCCGCTCAAAGATTGCCCCCATCCTCCTCACCCTCCTGTCGCGTGCAGTGCCATTGTTTGAGGCGCCCAAAAGATAACATCCCTGACCCCGCTCCCCTTCCTTCCCACCCCAGTGCCATGTGTGGCCTAATGCATGTGCCCCTCCTCATCCTCACCCTGCCTATCACCCGCAGTGCCAAGGGGCTAGTGCGAGTGGAGTCATTGACACGGGCATATCTGGGCGGCATGGGCGAGGTGACAGACGACATTCTGCGGTACAACCGTGACCACGCCCCCCCTCCACACCCCAGCCCCTCTCACAGATTATGTGTTTCTGGTGAGCATTCTTGCCCTGCCGATTAAATGCCTCACCTGCTGTTTCCCCACCTGTTGAAGCCCCACTGGCCTCGGCATGTTGATGCTTCATGTCACTGCTACTCTTGACTCTCGTTTCTGGAATCTGTGTTTGTCTCATCGCCACTCTCCGCTTTGCGTGCTTGCAGGTTGGCCGAAAGCACTGCTGGCGACACTGCTTGCTGCACTGCTGTTTCTCTGAATGAGATTAAATCTGAGGACCTAAGTGGCTTCTGTCTGGCATGTTTCACCCAATCAAGTCCCAATGTACGCTTTTTGAGAAAAGCCTGATTCTGCATCCAAAAGAGACAGCATGAGCGGAGATGAGATGAGGAAACCAGCAACTCTTGGTCCTTCCAAGACGTTCTTTCACAGCTCACACGTTAATGCTCGCCCGTGCTCGACCTTGTGTAAGGACAGCAGCAGCTTATGTCCCTTTGTCCCTCACTCGAACCTGGTAACACCATAAGACGTGACGTGAGCCTGATGTGCCTGTGCTGTGCCCATTCCCCATGCCCCATGTCCCATGCTGTGCACCATGCCATGGCATGCCATGGCAGTGTCACGCTGCCACCATGCTCAAACGTGTCTTGGATCCCAGCCTGCTTGCATTGCTTCGTCTGCTCCCACCCTCTCCCCTGCCCTCGCTTATTTACTACCCAGTCCTCTCTCCCCCCTTGCACACACCCACATACATCATGCCCCTCCCCGGGTGGTATATGCAGGAGCATGTGCTCCAAGCAATGCTGTTTCAAGCACTTGGGGAACATGAATCTTGCATACTGACAGTGTTTCAGCGTTCCTTACTATGACATTGAGTGTACAAGCTCTGCTCGACTGGCACGTGCAGACTCCAAAAGCCTTGAGAGAGCGTCAACTGGAACATTCTTTCCCCACAAGCACTGAGCCTCGCAACACACACACCGCAGCGCACTGCACTGCACCCCATCGCACCACACCACATCACACCGCATGAAGCGTTTGGACTAGAACATTCTGCCTCCACGGGCGCTGACAGCCTCACAGAGGCGGCAGGGGAAGGAGTCGAAGTTGAGTGCTGTGACATGGGCGAATGGGCCCGGCACTCCACACATGCGCCATGCGAAGTAATTCATGTACCTCACTACACCCACACCGCACCACACAGCACCGCACAGCACATGAAGGCAGGAGCACATGAAGGCACGGAATAATTAGGTTAGAGCAGAGTGAGCACAAGAGCAGGCACAAGACAGGAGAAGCAATGCAGTGAACATGCATGGATAGGATGGATGCAGTGGGAGAAAGGATGACATCACCAATTCCACCCACAGTGTCATTATGGTGCCAATACTGCACCTGGATCATTATCGAGTGCAGTGATGAGTGTAGCAAGCTGCGCAGTGGTATATTGGTGACCATTGAGTCCCTGATTGGACTTGAGTCACTTGTGAGAAGTCTCAGAAGCGGATGTTGAGACTAACTATGCACCTGAGTCGTTGGTGCGCGCACAGTGATGGGCGTGGCGAGGTGCGCAGCAGAGTGCTTGGAGCCATTGATGAACGACTCAGGCAACATGAACTGGCGGATCTCAGCTGCACCATGCTACACCATGCTACACCATGCTACACCATGCTACACCATGCTACACCATGCTACACCATGCTGCACCATGCTGCACCATGCTACACCATGCTACACCATGCTACACCATGCTACACCATGCTGCACCATGCTGCACCATGCTACACCATGCTACACCATGCTACACCATGCTACACCATGCTACACCATGCTACACCATGCTACACCATGCTACACCATGCTGCACCATGCTGCACCATGCTACACCATGCTACACCATGCTACACCATGCTACACCATGCTACACCATGCTACACCATGCTGCACCATGCTAAACCATGCTACACCATGCTACACCATGCTACACCATGCTACACCATGCTACACCATGCTGCACCATGCTAAACCATGCTACACCATGCTTCACCAGCACTGTGCCCGCCTCCAGGGGCTCCAAGGACCTTCCCAGAGCTGCAGCTGCTCCAGAGAGGCGAAGCATTTTGACTCGACTCAAACGACGCACCGGGGTTGTTATTCAGCACGGTGATGACTGTGGCGAGGTGTGCTGCCGTGTATTTGGTGCTGCGGATAAAGAATTCAGGGGGCATGAACTGGTGTGTTTTGACTCCCCTGCGGCTCTGTGGCTCAGGTGCTCCAGCGAGGCGATTCCTGAAAAGTTGGACAATTCTTACTCAACTCGAACAACGCACCTGGGTCATTATTGAGCGCGGTAATGAGCGTGGCGAGGTGCGCAGCAGTGTACTTGCTGCCATCAATAAACGATTCCGGAGGCATGAAGTGGTGGATGTCGGGCGCCCCGTAGTATACAGGAACCGTGCCCGCCTCCAGGGGCTCGAGGGCCTTCTCTGTGACGTAGCCCGGCACGTGCGTGTTCTCGGTGCTGAGGATGAACTTGTAGTGCGACATGGCACATGCTGATATCTCCTGCTTCAGTATGCTTATCACTCTGGGGGGGCCGTGGGGGGAGTGGGGAGGGGGAGGGTTGGGATGAACTTGTAGTGCGACATGGCACATGCTGATATCTCCTGCTTCAGTATGCTTATCACTCTGGGGGGGCCGTGGGGGGAGTGGGGAGGGGGAGGGTTGGGATGAACTTGTAGTGCGACATGGCACATGCTGATATCTCCTGCTTCAGTACGCTTATCACCCTGGGGGGTGGGGAGAAGGAGGGCAAAGGGATGAGTTCACATGGGGGAGGAGAAGTGGGAAGGGGAGGGGGCGTGGGGGTGACATGGCACACGCTGTGATTTTCTTCTTCTCATCCTATGGAGGGTATGGGGGGTGTATGCACATGGGGCAGAGAGGGGGAGGGAGGAGTGGGGGTGAACTTGTAGTGTGACATGGCACACGATGTGATTTCCTTCTTCTGAATGCTTCTCATCCCGCCATGAGCATGCAAGAAGCTTGCACTGCATGCAACGTGGCCCCACTCCACCTTCCATCCTCCACCTCCTCCTCATCTTACTCCCCTCCGGCACCTTCACCTTCCCCATCCCCCTCCTAAACCACCACACCTTCTACCACCCCCTTATCCGCCACCTCCTCTTCCACCACCATCACCTCCCTTTCCATCTACCCATGGGCCTCCTGCTCTCCACTCGAACTAATGGAAAGCTAAGTGAAGGAGGATTCGAGGGTGGTTGTGCCGCTACGTTCTTCTTCATTTCTGCCCTCTTTGGCATCTTCTTCATCTTTTTTGTCCTCCACCTCCTCTTCCCCATTGGATTCACCTCTCATCAACTCTGCATTTGTGAATACACCTGGCCCAAAAATATCTATCACAGCCACGTCATAAGCATGTGTTGCACCTTCCTCGATCAGATAAGTGCCAATGTAATTTTGTTTTTTTTAGAAATGCAATTTTTGCCTGCCAAGCCCAGCTCTGCTTGTGCCAGGATGCGCCCTTAAACCAGGTGCATGCACAACACAGAGAGGGGTGGGAAGGTAGAGAATGAAGGATTTGTGCAATTTAATGTGCAGGCACTCAACAGGAGGCTTGAGGCACTACTGTGCCCATGCAGGGTGACGGTGTGCCGTGCGTGCATGGCCTGAAATGCTGTGGGACCAGGCCGAGGGGCAAGATTTGTGCGAGGGAAGCATGCATGGAGGTACGGAGAGTGTGTTGCGTTGCGACACCTTAAGGGGGGTGCCCGCACGAGCCCATCATGCACTGGCGCCGCCTCCTATTCACCTTCAACTATCTTCCTTGCACACTCGCCACGTGACGCCTTACCCTTTTTGCACACTTGTGACATTGTGCCTTACCCCCCTCGCACCAGTGGAGGTCGTAAGTTATATTGGAGTGACTTTTGAGAATTCTCAAAAGTCACATCCCTCCCTCCCTGGCCACCCCACCCCCTCTCACTCATGGGTGTGTACATCCTCACTTCACCCCCCGCATCCTCCCCCTTCCCACTCACGGGTGAGAGCATTCAGGGTAGAGCAGCAGCTCAGCATCGCTGCCATTCATGTTGTTGTCGCAGTGCCCAATGCCATTGCCACTTCCACTGAGGTGCTACCCCCCCCTCCTTCCCCCTTTCCGCTCCCCACTTTCCTGTGCCCCTCCCCTCCTCCACTCACGGGTGAGAGCATTCAGGGTAGAGCAGCAGCTCAGCATCGCTGCCATTCATGTTGTTGTGGCAGTGCCCAAAGCTGTGGTGCGGCACCAGGGCGAACACGTCTCTCACCAGCCCCTCTCGCCACTCATACTGGCAGTGGGAGGATGCACGGTACAGAGGCACGTCCTGGGGGGGAGAGAACGGGAGGGCGGTATAGTGAGGGTGGTACACCGTGCATGTAGGGGAGGGGCAGGGCAGAGGGTTCACACACGTCCCCTCAGCGGACCCTCATGCCACCCGCCTGGCAGTGCAACAATGACCGGTACACAGGTAAACAGATCCCATGCCCACCTGCCACTTCATCTTGGGGAGACGAGTTGCCTCCGTTCTCCAGCGTGTGGTGCACGCCCGAGTAGGTCAGCTGCACATCGCTGCCTGGCACGCCCAAACACGCCCAGACATGCTCAGACATGGCCAGATATGCACAGCTGTCCCAGGTCCATCTGCCTGACTGACCTGGCGCTTGATCTTGGAGAAGAACTGTCTTCTGCCAGTCTCGAGAGTGTGGTGCACGCCTGAGTAGGTGAGCTGCACGTCACTGCTGGCGAAGGGCGACACGCCCACGTCGAACAGGCGGCGCTTCTCCTGCAGCCCCCACGACTCCAGGTTCAGATACACTCGTAAAGGCTGCCCTCTGGTTCTGTCGGCAGGTGGGTCTGCTGGCCACACGTGCAGCGTGGCGTCTGCCTGGAGGGCCATCAGGGGTGACCAGGAGATCTGCAGAGCGGGGGAAAGGGGTGGAGGGGGGCGGGCCGGGGGGTGGGGGGCGAGGGGCGAGGGGCGGGCGGGGAATTGAGAGGGGTTTGGGGCATGGTCGCACTGGCAGTGGCTGTAGGAACGACCTTTCTCCAGCAGCCCCCACGACTCGACGTTCAGATACACTCCCAGAGGCTGCCCTCACGTGCGCTCTGCGGGGGGGATCTGCCGGCCACACGTGCAGCGTGGCGTCTGCCTGCAGGACGTGAGGGGCGACCAGGAGATCTGCAGAGCGGGGGACAGGGGCGGGGGGGGAGAGAGGGGGAGAGAGGGGGGAGTTGGTTTTGGAAGTTTGGAGGGATTTTAGGGACGGACGCAGTAGCAATGGCCCAATCGAGGGGACTCAGGCGGCGCTTCTCCAGCAGCCCCCACGACTCGAGGTTCAGATACACCCGTAGGGGCTGCCCACTAGCTCTGTCGGCAGGCGGGTCTGCGGGCCAGACATGCAGCGTGGCGTCTGCCTGTAGGGCCATGAGGGGTGACCAGGAGATCTGGACAGGATGCGTGCAGAAAGAGAGGGGGAGGGGGGGGAGAAGGGGGGGTGGACAGGGGGTGAAATCATGGAGTGCAGTGACCAGGCAGGGGGTGAAATCATGGGTGAAACCCTAAACACCTGGCAGGTGAAATCAACAGTCACCTGGCAGGTAATGCCACAGCGGGGGCAGTGGTAGAAGCCCTCCAGCTTGTGCGGCCACATCCATGACTCCGCGCCAGGTGGCAGCAGGATGGTGACATGGCGCAGCTGCATTCGCCGGCACGCCACCCTGTTTGGATCCTGTGCGTGCAGGGGGCAAGGGGGGTAGTGGTGGGACAGGGGACGGGTGGTGAGGGAGGGGAGGGGTGGCAGAATGGGAGCATGCTGTGAGGTTCAGGTGGCGCCATTGCAACACAGAGAGTCTCAGGCAGTACACTGGGTGGGGGTGGATGCAATGCGATGCGATGCGATGCGAGCATCGCTGATGCTCAGACCCCCATGCATCAGCAATGTGGTATGGCGTGGTGCTGTGGCATGGTGCTGTGGCATGGTGCTGTGCTTCCCTCTGATTGGAAACTTGAGGCACACTGCCCTGCCTCAACGGTTGCGGAACCTCAAGCGCTGCTGCACTAGCAATGAGTGGTTGCACCTGAGTTGAAAAACGCGAAATGGGTGAGCGATTTGAGTGGACACGCACAATCCTCAAGTCTTCTCGGCAAAAAAAAAAAAAGGAAAAGAAAAAAGGGAGAAATAAAACCAAAAAGCACTTCTCCCAAACTTCCCAACCCAGCCTTGCACATTCTCCCGCTCCCTACCTACCACTAACCTGATCAGAGCACTAGTCTTCTCACGCCACTCCCCCTCCCCAACCCCGCCCCTCTCGCCATCCTCACACCTAATTTGCCACTCATCTGCTCCCCCACCCCCACCCCTCTCTCCCTGCCTGAAATATTTCCATCTTTTCAGTGGCCTTCCTCAATCTGCCTGGCCAAGAATCATTCTCACCCACGGGGCCACACCTGAAGACTGGAGCTTTTGGGGAAGGCGGAGGAGTAAGAGTACTTCTTTAGGAGATCCCTGTGCTTCCACCTGAAGCGCGCACACCCCACCTTCGCCTCCCACATCCTGACAGTATTAGAGAGAAACGGGAAGGGGAGGTAAGGGGAGGAACGAGGAGAGAGGGGGAGAGGGCGGGAGAAGGGGGGAGAGGAGTCGGAGTCTTTTTTGAGCCGATCCCTGTGCTTCCACCTGAGGTGCGCACAGCCCACCTTCGCCTCCCACATCCTGATAGCACGGGAAAGGGGGGACAGGGGAGGAGGAGAGAGAATTGAGAGAGGAAAGAGAGTGTAGAGGAACACTAAGGGGGTGACTGTGGGGGGGCGGAGGGGAGAAAGGGGGTTAAGGTATCACCGGATTAATGTGCCTGGCTGTACCCTGCCTGATCAATACAAAGGACCGTTTGAGGGAAGAGAGTGTGGTACAGAGAAGGATTGCTATGGGAAGTAAAGGGAGCAGGAGCAATGAGCAGGACTGCAGGCAGCACCCACAGGACAACAGTCACAACTTCAATCACAAGTACTCACTCACTCACTCACTCACTTGGCAGCAGGCTCGACATTGTAGCCAGCATCGGAGAAAACGGGAGCAGGGCCGCCGTCGCCCAGCACAGAGAAACTGGGGGGGGGGAGCAGTGAGCCGCGAGCAGTGAGCCGCGAGCAGTGGCAGTCCCACAGGACCACAGTCACATCCATTACCACAGATACTCACCCACCCACCCACTCGCTCACTCACTTGGCAGCAGCCTCGACATTGAATCCAGTGTCAGAGAAGACGGGAGCAGAGCCACCGTCGCCCAGCACGGGGATGCGGCGGGGGAAGGGCGAGGCGGAGTAGTACTGAGGGTCGTGGAGGGTGGAGAGCAGCGACGGCAGTGTGCATGCTGCCCACGCCAGCAGCAGCAGTATTGTTAGCCATATCAGCCGCCCGGGGATGGTGCTCATTGGGGGGATCTGGGAAGAGAAGGGGGGTAAAACGTGAGAAGGTGAGGTGGGGGAGGGAGAGTGCGGGAGAGGGTGGGGTGGGGGAGGGAGAGTGCGGGAGAGGGTGGGGTGGGGGAGGGAGAGTGCGGGAGAGGGTGGGGTGGGGGGGATGAAAAGGAGTTTTTTTTTTGTGGGCGCCAGGGATGCGGCGGGGTACGGGCCGAGCGAGAGGCAGGGTAGTGGGCGGGGGGGGGGGGGGGCGTGGAGCGTGGAGAGCAGCAAGGGCAGCGTGCATGCGATGCCTGCCAGCAGCAGCAGCACCGACACCAGCCATATCATGGCGGGTGGGATTTGTAGCGGTCGATGGCGTTGCCACAGCCATAGCACACGGATTGGCATGGTGGTTGTCTTGGGGGGGGATGTGGGGGAAGGGTTGGGCAGAGGTGAGATAGGAAGGCATTTGAGTCACAGCGTGGTGACTCAAGGGATTGGCCAGAGTGGTCGTGAGGGGGGATGTGTGTGATGGTGGGTTGCCGAGGGACGGGGAAAGACGTGGAGCAAGGACGAGCAGGTGTACCTTATGAAATTTATGATTATATGCGCAACTGTACTGTACCTTATCGAGCACCTCTTGCGCTTTATCCACGGCAGGCCTGAGCACGGGGCGAGCAGCATTCGCTATAGTCACATACACACTGAACCGCTGCAGATACCGGTGCACCCCTGCCGCCGCTGACGTCAGCGCCTGCGTCAGCAGCGGCGGCACTGTAGTCAGCAGCCTATCGGCGACATCTATCGCAGCGGTCGCGATTCGCGGGCCGTGATCTGCGGCGGCTCGAGGCCATTCCGCAATCGGCGGCGGCGGCCAGAGAGGGGTCGCGGAAAGTGCGGAGAGCGAGCGGAGGGAGGAAAGGCCGAGGGGGATGGATTCGGGGCTCATGGGGGGAAGGAAGGCGGAGGGGGAAGGGACATCCGCGGAGGGGGGCTCGAGTGCGAATTCTGATGGGCGCAACAACGGCGTAGCCGCGTGGTGAGATCGAATGAACGGCTGTATTTCGCTGCCGTCTCTTCCCGCTTCTCCTCCCCCTCCCCTTCCCGTTCCCCCTCTCGTCGCATGTTCGCCCCTACCGCCGTTGCCGTTCTGATAGCTCCCGCTTCTGCTGCTATAAGGTGATTCGTCATTGGGATCGCCGCGGTCAACGCTACTAACGGGGATGGTGGCAGGCGACGCGAGGCTCGCGCCGCTGTATCCTGATCGCTGCGCCGCAATGCCGTCGTTATAGTGGCCGCCGGCTGCGCTGCTGCTGTTACCGCGAGGTTCGATTCGATTAGGGTTGCTCGAATGTGACTGGCGCTGCGTCCGCGACTGCGATTGAGCGTGCGACTGTGAGCGAGAAGAGGAGGAGGAGGAGGAGGTGGAGGCGCGATGCGATGACGCTTTGTCACGAGGCATTTCGGCAACCTGCTGAGCGAGAAGTTACATTAGCGAAGACCAGAGTATCTCGTAAAGCCCCACCAAGTACATTCCGTTCCTCTGGCTTGAAACGCACCCGAGTCGCCCCTGTGCCTTTCAGTCCGACCTTACAAACATTGTGTCACCAGCCAATTTCCACCCTGCTAGGCTCCAGGACAAATGTTTTGACATTGTTTTTATGTTTTTGCCAACCATAATCTGTCCCAACATGTCGATGTAGTATAAATCCGTCTGTATCTTTTGTACACATATACATTGTAAATAAAGCGGTCAGTATCTCCGCCTGTCACGCGGAAGATCCGGGTTCGATCCCCGGCATCGGCATCTTTTGATGGCATGACTGTCATGTTAACCTTGGCAGGTCCATGGTCCTATGTTGAGGGAGCCTCTCAGTTCCACACTCTCTTGCGGATCAAACCTCAACCATACCGAAAAGTTGTATGCCACTGAGCAAACTACACTTAGCAACATGAGAATGAACTCTCAGCAAAGACTTGTGAGAGATTTGCTCTTGGAACATATTTGTCAAATATTTAGTGCATGTTGTGAAAAGAAAACAGGAAATGATTGGACCATGGCAAGAGTGAGATACTAGTAGACCCTAAGTGGGGTTGTACTCTATACTGAGCACCTCACTATTGCCTAGCAAAACTAACAACATAGAAATATGTTTTGACACACCCCCCTAGGCAAAGTGAGGGATAGCCAACACAACTAACGGTCACAAGGCCAATCAGGCAAGAGAACAAAGGAATGCAAAGCTCGGGGTGGATCTCAAGATCACCACTCATTATTAGCACAAGCAAGTGGCCATAAGGTCAGTTCACATGAAGAGTTATAATAGCAAGGCAGTACACTGATCACAACCTAGCAAGAGAAAACATGCAGGTATAAATATAGATATCAGTGTACAGCAAGTGCAAGATCAGGAGACAAGCTGGTGAGGAAGAGTGTCTAGAAGCCCAAGAGCAGTGCAAAAACGCTGATGATCACCAGCCCGAGGGCCTTGGTGAAGACATCAGCAGTGTTGGCCCGAGAGGCCACGAAGGAAAGGCGAAGCTGAACACGCTGCTGCAGCTCTCGAGCAAGAAAGTAGCGAAGAGCAATGTGCTTCGTTCTGTGCTCCAGTCTCTGCTTGTGACACAAGGCAAGCATGGCCTTGTTGTCGACGTACAGAACTGGAGGAGAACGAGGCCGCTCCCCCAAGTCCGTCAGCAGGTTGGTCAGCCAACGTAGCTCCTGTGCAGCCATAGCCCCAGCGTAGATCTCCTCACAGCTCGAACCAAGCACAGAAGAAGAACGAGTGGACCTCCATGAGATAGAACCAGAGCCACGACTGAAGGAGTAACCCTGGGACGAACGCTGAGTCGCCCGGTCGTCGGCCCAAGAAGCGTCCGAGTCTCCTGTGAGTACCACTGAACCCCGTCCTCCAAGTACGAGCACCATGCCCGATGTACTGCAGAAGAAACGCAATACCCTCTTCGCAGCATCCCAGTGCACCTTTCGGTGTCTACCGGGAGCCACGTAGCGAGCCAGGAGGCTAAGAGGGTACGCGGGGTCAGGTCGTATGCATGTCATCAGGTACATGAGGCAACCCACAAGCTCTGGATACGGACCACTCGGCTCTACGGACTCGTCCGAAGGTGGAGCTGAGAGCGAGTGGCGAGTAGGAAGAGGAGTGGGCTGTGACGAGGAGTATTGGAAGCCAAAGCGCTGAAGGACCTGGTGCATCATGTGTGACTGAGTCAGGGTGATGGTGCGCCGTGCTCTGTCCCGGGTGGTCTGCAAGCCAAGATAGCTCCGCATCTCACCCAGGTCAGTGCAGGTGTGTCTCTCCTGCAGCTCCGCCTTCACTAGGGCCAGCACCTCAGTGTAAGCAGTAGCAAAAACCAAGTCGTCGACGTACACGAAAACGTAGAACGGCGGCCGAGAAGTATCGGTGCGTAGAAACAGCGACGGGTTAGCAGAGGAAGGAGCAAACCCAAGAGCCGTAAGTGTCGTCCTCAGTGTGTCGTGCCACTTGCGGGGCGCCTGGCGGAGACCGTAGACTGGCTGCCAGAGGCTCCACTGGGTACCCGCAGGAAACGACTAAGTGAAGCCAGGTGGGCGGCGCAGCCAGGTCTCCTCGTGAAGGCTGCCGTGCAAGAAAGTTGTGGAGAAGTCGAGGGAGTGCAGCTCGTAGTTACGCTATACTGCAACGTGCAGCAGCACCCGAAGAGTAGTCATCTTCGGTGTGGGGGAGAAGGTATGGAAGAAGTCGACCCCCTGTCGATGACTGAAGCCTCGAGAAACGTAACGCGCCTTGAAGGCAGGCGGAGAACCCGGCGGCCGCTTCACTCTGAAAATCCACATGCCATCGACTATGTTCGCCCCAGGGGGAGGAACCTCGTCGACGTAGGTGCCTGTGGATTTCCAGGAAGCCATCTTTGCGTCCATGGCTGTCTGCCACTGAGAGGAGTACTCATCCGCAATCGCCTTAGCGTAAGAGCGCGGGGTAGGGATGTCAGGTGAATCCGGGTCTCCCTCAGGGCAAATCAGCATGGATGCGAAACGATGTAAAGTGGCCGCAAGACACTCAAGCTCGAACTGCCTGTCCTGAAGGACGTCACTGTTAGAATGTGAACGAATGAATGACTGAACTAGCAAGCAGTTGGGTACAAGTAGCAAACACAAAAGTGTTGTACCCTCTAAGGACTACCCCACTACAGCCTAAACAGACTATAGCATGTATAAGTTTGACACACCCCCATAGGCAAAGTGGGGGAGAACAAGGGGTCACAAGACCAGTCAAGAAGGCAAAGCAAGCTCAGGGTGGATCACAAAGTCACCACGCAGTCTGAGCACAAGTAAAGGGCCACAAGGCCAGTTCACATGCAGAGTTATATAAAACAAAACAAACAATACAGTGAACACAACCTAGCAAGTGTAAGCATGCAAGTATAAGTATATAGAGTACAGTACAAGCAGAGTCAAGAAGTCAGCAAGTGAGGCACAGTAGGTACAAGGCCTAACACAGTACAGAAACGCTGATGATCACAAGGCTGAAGGGCCTTGGTGAAAACATCAGCAGTGTTGGCCTGAGAGGCCACGTAAGCAAGACGAAGCTGGCCACGCTGCTGCAACTCTCGAGCAAGGAAGTAGCGCAGAGCAATGTGCTTCGTTCTGTGCTTCAATCTGTGCTCCTGACACAAGGCCAGCATGGCCTTGTTGTCGACGTACAGAACCGGAGGAGAACGAGGCACCTCTCCCAAGTCAGTCAGCAGGTAGGTGAGCCAGCGTAGCTCCTGTGCAGCCATGGCCCCAGCGTAGATCTCAGCCTCACAACTGGAGCTGAGAACAGAAGAAGAACGGGTAGACCGTCAAGAGACAGAACCGGAGCCAAGACTGAAGGTGTAACCCTGTGACGACCGCTGCGTAGCCAAGTCGTCAACCCAGGAGGCGTCAGCGTGAACAGTGAGGACAACTCGAGCCCGTCCTCCAAGCACGAGCCCCATGCCCGATGTACTGCACAAGTATCGCAACACCCTCTTCGCAGCATCCCAGTGCACCTTTCGGTGCCTGCCGGGAGCCACGTAGCGAGCCAGAAGGCTGAGAGGGTATGCGAGGTCAGGTCGTGTGCAAGTCATCAGGTACATGAGGCAGCCCACAAGCTCTGGATACGGGCCACTCGGCTCTACGGACTCGTCCGAAGGTGGAGCTGAGAGCGAGTGACCGGTAGGCAGAGGAGTGGACTGTGGCGAGGAGTACGTGAAGCCGAAGCGCTGAAGGACCTACTGCACCATGTGTGACTGAGTCAAGGCAATGGTGCGCTGTGCTCTGTCCCGGGTGATCCGCAAGCCAAGATAGCTTGTCAGCTCACCCAGGTCTGTGCACGTGTGTCTCTTCTACAGCTCGGACTTTACGTGGGCGAGTGCCTCAATGTCAGCAGTAGCAAAGACGAGGTCGTCTACGTACACGAGAACGTAGAACGGAGGCAGAGTAGTGTCAGTGCGTAAGAACAGAGAAGGGTCAGAAGTGGAAGGAGCAAAACCAAGAGCAGCAAGAGTCGTTCTGAGTGTGTCGTGCCACTCACGAGGTGCCTGGCGGAGACCGTAGACTGGCCGCCGGAGGCTCCACTGGGTACCAGCTGGAAACGACCCAGTGAAGCCAGGTGGGCGGCGCAGCCAGATCTCCTCGTGCAGGCTGCCCTGTAGGAAGGCTGTGCTGAAGTCAAGCGAGTGGAGCTCGTAGTCACGCTGAGCAGCTACGTGCAGCAGTACCCGAAGAGTGGTCATCTTCGGGGTAGGGGAGAAGGTCTGAAAGAAGTCAACTCCCTGTCGCTGACTGAAGCCACGTGCAACGTAACGCGCCTTGAAGACAGGCGGAGAACCCGGCGGCCGCTTCACCCTGAAGATCCACATGCCACTGACGATGTTCGCCCCAGGCGGGGGAACCTCGTCGACGTAGGTGCCTGTGGACTTCCAGGA